TGCTGGCAAGATCTGAGGGCCACATTTCAACGCCCTCCAGAGCATATGTTGTTGCCTGGGTGAATATGAAATTTTCTTTTCATGTCCCCCCTCAGTGCCATCTGCTTTTTTGGATTTAAAATACTTTAACCAGTTTGATGCCTCTCACCCTTCTCCCTCTCAGAATCTCTGCCTACCCCATTTCCCTCCTCTGTGCCACCTCCTGGCCTAGGTGGAAAAACGCCAGGTGTGTGCTGCATAAGCACGTGGTCATTTTCAGCTTTACTTGTGATCCCCAGGCCCTCAGACTGGCCCTGGTAAATCCAGGGTAGGCTACTCCCAGGGCTGGCCTAAAACCCACTACCCTGGTCTGTATGTTGAGGAGAGAGAACTTTTAATTTCATCAAATAGAAATTGGATCTTTGGAATGCTGAGGTTTGAGCCTCTTAAAATGGAGCTTGTGTCCGTAGTTCCACCTGAGCTAATTCTGAGCCAAGACTAAAAAAATGAAAGATTCCCCCTTTTAGCTCAAAGAGCTCCAGGAGAGGGAGGAGAAAAGGAGGTTCAGGAATTGGGTGGTGCATAGATGGAAACATGGCCTTGCTGAATCATTGTCAGTGATATCTTGGACAAGGGTTTGATGTCCAAAATATATAAAGAATTCATATGACTCCACTCCAGGAAGACAAACAATACAATTTAAAAAATGGGTAAAGGGCCTGAATAGACACTTCTCCAAGGAGGACATACATACACAGGGCCCAGAGACATGTGGATGGATGTTCAGCATCCCTAGCCATCAGAGATGCAAATTAAACCCACAATGAGATACCACTTCATATCTATCAGAATGGTCATCATAAACAAATCAACAAATAACAATAACCAAGTGCTGGAAGCAACCTAAGTGCCCATCAGTAAATGAGTGGATAAAAAAACTGTGGTACATTTACACAGTGGAATGCTATGCAGCAGAAAGAAAGAAGGAGCTCCTACTCTTTCACAACAGCATGGATGGAACTGGAGAGCATTATGCTAAGTGAAATAAGCCAGATGGGGAAAGACCATATGATCTCACCTATTACTAGAACCTAATCAACAAAATGAACAAGCAAGCAAAATATAGCCGGAGACACTGAAATAAAGAACAAACGAACAGTAACCAGAGGGGAGGGGGAAAAGGAGGGAGGAAAGAAAGAGAAATGACTAGTTAAAGAATGTGTATGAGTGACCCAAAAAACCACTTGTTTTGTAAATTTATTACTGATGGCCATTTCTGATTGGTGTGAGGCAGAATCTCATTGTGGTTTTAATCTGCACCTCGCCAATCGCTGGTGATGTTGAGCATCTTATATGTCTGTGGACCATCTGTATGTCCTCCTTGGAGAAGTGTGTATTCAGGTCGTTTGCACATATTTCAATTGGACTGTTTGTCTTCCTGGTGTTGAGCTTATGAGTTCTTTATACATTTTGGAGATCAAATCCTTGTCCAATATATCATTGGAAAATAAGCTCTCTTATACAGTCAGTTCCCTTTTCATATACCCATCTTAAATTGTTAGATACAATTAAATTTTATTTTTAAATCATGATTATTCTATTATAGTTGTCTCAATTTTTCCCCTTTGTGTTAGATACAGCTAAGAATTATTGAGAGGTTTCTATACACACAAGATGTTATTTGACCTTTGTGACAGTCTTATGAGGTAGGCATGACACTTTCACATTTTAAAGACAAGAAATTGAGACTTGGGAGATTAAGAGTCTCTCTCCAAGTAGATTCAGCTTGATGGAAAATCAGCATTTAAATCGAGATTGCCAGAGCAGTGCTATTAAAAGATTTATATCTTCCATCTCAAATAGTGTCAGGTAGCAATGCCCCACTAACCAAAACAGGGTACCTGACTTTTGTCTTTATAAACACTCGAAGGGAATAAATGTTGTGCTTGTCCATTCTTTCTTTTCTTTCTTCAGTCAAAATTCATTCCAAGTCTGTAGTGAGTGAGACAATCCTCAGAGTTGTGTCTCTTTGTCTGTGTACGGACTCCTGCTGGGCTCCTTACCCCTCCTGACTTCTGCTCCATAAAAAGATAGGCTTTGGGGCTTGACCACCGGGTTCCCTGCCCGGGATATCCCCGGGAGACCGGGTGGGGGTGCGGGGCGGGCGGGGGGGGGGGGGCAGGGGGTGCTGTCCTCGGTGCTGAGAAACTCTGCTGAGGAAGGCACGGATAGCTCGGTCCGGTCTGTTCTCTCTCATCTCCCGCCTCAGGCATACTCTTTTAGGAGCCCGGTCGAGGTCCTAAAACCGCTAATTTGTAATCCCAGGCTGCCCTCTGCACCGAGAAACAGATCTCTCCCACCCCCACCAAGAGGAACTCTGAAGAGAGTCTCTTGTCTCCTTGATTTTCCCAATGACATTCTGGGAATGAAAAGTTTGGGAAACGTTTCCTCCTTATCTATCCGGATATTAGATTATTTTGGTTTGGCCAAGGAAGGGGAGCTCATTGAGTTCCTCAGTCTCTGGCAGACATTGGAGAAGCTCGAAAACCTTCCTAGGCTGATAGTTATCCTTTGCAATTAATGCTGTTTTTCCAGGCTAATTCTTCACTTCTGGGTGGTGCTAGTGCCTGGAGGCCATGTATGGAACAGTTTTAAAGCGTTTCCCCAGCCCCGGCACAGTAGGTGGAGGCTGAAAGAAAGGGTCAACCACTTTGTGCCTTCACTGACAGAGTCCCGCACTCAGTCCCAACTCATCCTGTAGCTTCTTAGAGTTCAAAGGAAAAGGGTGTGTGTGCGTGGGTGTGTGTGTGTGTGTGTGTGTGTGTGTTTGAGAGAGAGAAAGACAGAAAGAGAGCACACTCCACTGGGAAGAGGAAGCGTTGATGAAATATTTTTCTCTTTCCTTTGCCAAGTTCATTTTTATAAGTTTTCTTATTTTGTCTCCTCTGTGATTTTTTTTTTTTTTTGCAATTGTGAGGGAAATCACTCATTACTTTCTGACTGCTTCAGCCCCACGAGAGAAAACAAAGTAGTTTCATGATGAATTTTCCTTTTATTAACAAACATTTAGTATGCATTCCCATGGTGAAGTTATTATTGAAACAATGTAAATGCAAACTACCTAAGCATAATATAGTGCAAGCTTAGTATAAGGGATATTTTTGTCTTAAAAATCATAACTTCAATGATGACACAAAATTGTCAATAGTTTTTAAAAGGGAAAATTGCAACTTTAGTTGTTTCTCAACTTTTTCTTGTGCAAAGTTTGTGAGAGACACTCTTTACTACACTCCTTATAATTCAACTCACAGAGAAATTTTTTAAAAATTATTGAAAGCTAAGGCTTTCAGAGGAGAAAAAAGTAGTCAAAGGTTCTTGTTTTTTATGAAACACAATTAAATTACATGACTTAGATACATAGAATTAAAAGTTAGATCCCTCCTTTCAGAAACTTATTGAGCACTAACACTACACACTGATAGTGTCCTTAGATGTATTTCTTTTGTTTAGACACAGCAGTTAGCTGTCTGTAAAACATTACCATTATTTCTAAAAAAACTGCTCATTTAGTGGATATTAAGCAGATGATAATACTACATACAGAAATGTATTGAATCTCTTTGTTGTAGGCTGGGCGTTTATATCCAGATGAAAAAGACTAAGTTCTGAGTAGCACATTACTAAAAATTCAAAGATTATCTTTCATTTAGTATGTAATTTCTTCTTGACAAAATTACAACCTACCCTAAGCTTTGACTTCAAACACACTAAATTATTTTCAGTAGGACTAAAAGCCGCTACAAAATAAAATATTCAGACTAAAAAAACTATAAATATTTCATTTCCAAAGTCAAGAAATTATCTAATTTACATTTAATGTGACATAAACAAATATTTATCAAAATAGTCCCTTTGCAAAATATATGGGCTCTCGAGGAACACCAGTGAAAAAGTCCATTTCCATTTTTAGAATTTGTGCTTGTAAATGGGTTCTACAAAGGCAGGAAGAAAAAGATACTGACCTGAAAGTCCCAGCTCCAAAGCAATGAAACCTCAGACACATTCAGACCAAATTACTCTTTCCACCGAGTTGGCATATTTAGGTGGGTATTATTACACCCTATTAGTGAATTAGGGACATCTGTTTAAAGGTACGTGTTAGTATTTGAATAGTATGTCAGGGTTGGAAGGGACATTGATTCATCCAGTGTAACTCCCTTATTGTTAGAGTAAAACCGAGGTCCAAAGTTGGCAAGCGATTTGTGTGAGGGCTGATCACTCGAAGTCAGGTTTTCTCAAATCTAATGTACCCAGGAAACTTGGATGGGCATAAAATATCACCTGGGGCACTTAAAAATGCAGGTGTCTGTGCCCCATCCTCAGATATTCTAGGTGGGTAGAGCTGGGACACAGCTGGTCTGAGGATCACACTTAAAGAAATGCGATGAAAATCCTTTAAGATTTAACTATTTCTAAAATGAAATGTTAAAATAGTGTGAAAAGTATTCCAAAGTATAGCTTATTTTTCAGACATTGTTGCTCTCCCTGCTCTCTCAGATATCCAGTGTTCATGTAAAAGTTGAAGTCTGTTGACTATCCAGACATGACTTAGATTATCACAATGAGCCTCTGCAAAGGGTTGGCAATTAGAGGCTCAGATTATTCTTTCATGTCACAAGATTCTCCAGCTAATATATTTCTAAGGCAATGAGAGAAAGATTTCATTCCAAGAACTGTTTGGAAGTGCAAAATTTTGTAACCACTTAAGTTTTTAAACATAATTAAAAACTCTCATTTGGTAATTAATAAAGCATTCCCTTACTCATTCAATGATTATTTATTGACTACCTACCGGCCTGGCTTTTAGTTAACATCTGTTTTATCTTAAGAGTCTTCAAAATGTCTCCCCAAACAAATTTTACAATTACTGGAAAATGGTTGTGCAAGTTGTAGGAGTCAGGCGGGGAGTTCTATTATCTCCCACAGCAGTATTTATGGTTGCAATAAAACATACAGAGATGTGTTGATATTATACTATGAACTTTAATGTTTATAAGTATTTAATAAGGTCCTGAATTAAAGAAAATCTTCATAGGTAACATAACAAAGCAGTTATTGAATCACAGATTACTGAAATAGAAAATGACCCTTGTAGGCTAAGATTTATGTAAATCCAAAAGTTCAATTCTAATCACAGGCTTGTGTTTTACACTGAGTGATAGCTATTCCTTTAGGAATTCTCCATGGTAAATATGAAGTTTGAAAGAAGCAGGTTACAAATTTTAATTAACTTTGATGAAACATAACAGATTATTAATTTTAACTCAATTGAGAATATGTGATTATCATCTCTAAATCAAAGAACCCCAAAAGATCTACCATTATGCTCTTGGGTATGTATTAATATACTGTCATTTCAAATTACTTAAACTTAGACTTATTTGTTAATACTCATCTTGCTAAAAAAAAATGACTTAAGGCTATCATTTCAAATTAAGGTTTGATTTTCAGACTTTTTCAGATAAAAGAAGTAGTTGGATTTCCATCAACAGATTCTCAATTGACAGACCCAGTTCTGTCTATGCCTTTATTTTCTGGAGGGCACTGCAAAGGATTCCAAAGTCACCTACAAAAAAAAGAAAAAGATGAACCACTCATATCATGAACAACAACACCCTTCAAGTGTCCACAAAGTGTAGAGCACTGGGAAATCATCAGGATGCATGGAGATGCTAGGTACTGCCCCAATCCTCAAGGAGCTCGTGGCTTAGCTCTGGCGATAGAATTTGGGCAGTTATGGCACAGGTAGTTACAAGTTTTAGGAAGTGCTAGAGCTACTAATGGAATTAGCTTCCTCTTTCCATAAGCTGTTTCTCAGCAAAGGAGTTCTCTCCCAGGAAAATCACATCGCCAGCTGTTCTGTTTCTCTTTTACATGACCATCCATTAATGCTTATAAGGAGCTAAGCCATTGAACATGAAAGTGTGCTTCATAAAAAACTCCTGTGTCAGAATCACCAGGGACCTTATTATAAACACAAACCCCCAAGTCCCATCACAAATTTAGTGAATTTAGTCTGGGGCTATGAATCGTGACTATTCATCTTTAACTATCACCCCAAGTGATCCTGATGCACACTAGGTTTGAAAATGCACAATCTAAGCAGATAACGCAGCCTAGACCACTGGCCTAAGATACGATGAAGCCACTCTTATTCATGCCATGTTTTTACCTGGAGATGATTTTCTCCTTACTTCAATATTTAATAAATTTCTTACCATTCCTATTGTGAAAACAAGAAACACAACCCTGTTTTTCTGGGAGAGGGAGTTACCTCAAAAGTATGTTACTTACTATTGATGGAGTCAGCCAAAATCTTAAGTTGTTGGGTATTGTCCAAGACCTCAATCCTTTGGGTGTATGGGTCATAATGAATAGAGAAGGGCCGCGGGATTGTAGCAGCAAAGCTCCTGAAACCAAAACCATAGATCTGAGTGAAGGGCAGCATTTGGGGTAAATGTAATTCTGCAAGATTTCTCAGTGGCATTTCACTTGGCTACTAGGAGCACTGAAAACTCATTAGAATAGGAGTTTAGAAGCCAGGCTGGGAAGTGAAGTGGAGTTTTAGCAGGGTCCTCTTGGAAACCCTTTGCTGTTTTTTTGTCTGTATGAATATACAAACACATGTATGCACATTATTTTTTTTGGTCACTTACCTCCAAAAAGACAGAGGCAGCTTACAATAAAAGCACAGGTTACAATAAGGCTAAAATTCTCATTGTTACATAAAATGTAATAAAACGAGTATAAAAAACCAGCTAAAGAATATTACAGAAAAAAATAAGCTCTGAGATGCTTCAAAGTCAGTGTGAGAAAGGAAATACAGCTCTCAAGAGTTGAAGAAAACACTACATTATTAATGAAATTTAGCATGGCTCGAGTGCCTCCTATGTACCAAGAACTCTGTTGAGTTCTAAATGTTCTGTGCTCTTTATAATTGTTATTCCTATTTTAATCTTCATAAAAACACTAGTAGAAAGGTACTATTATTATCCCCATTTTACAGATGAGGTTTGGGAAGTTAAGTGACTACCAAGACCACACTGGCGATATACTGTGAAGCTGGGAAAAGACCCAGATAATCTGATCCTTCACTAGGCCTGTGTTCTGTATTACTCTGGGTCTGGAAGAATTGTACTGTGAGAGCCTTATGAGGGACATCAAGCAATATAATTAACAAGATATTCCAAAGTGACCTATAAAATGCAGAGATATCACAAATGATATTTCTAAGTTGGCTTCTGGTGACAGTAGAAACTGCCATACTGAGAAGTCAATGACAAGGGAGGCTAGTAGGGCTCTCCAAGTTTAGCAAGAGTGGTGGAGCATAGTGGTTGCATACCCAAGTTCCAGAGCAAGAATGCCTGGGCTCACATCTGCCTCTTCCAATGACCACCCCTGTGGCCATGGGCAAGGGACCCTCTATCCCTCAGTTTCCTTATTCCTCTGTAAACATTGGAACAAGAGCAGGACTACCTCAGAGGGTTGTAGCAAGTGCAGTTACAGTACAGAGTACGCACTACACGTGTGCTAGCTGTTATCTTTTATTAGTGACTGGGGACTTGTGAAGCATAAACGGTTAAGTATACCTCTTCCCCTCTTCTCTGAAAAGAGATTTCTCAGCCTAGCTGGTGACATGAATCATGCCACACATATCTGATTTTGCTCTGCAGCTCGTCCCTTATTCCCATAGTGCACCTCACTTTTGCTTTGGGTCATCTACCTCTACCCCACCGATGTACCTGAGTTGAGTCTCAGGGCCCAGGCTTCCCTTGGCCAAGGAGTAGGAACATGACCATACTCAGCCTTGTCTCTGCCTAGAACTTGAATCTTGAAACTGAAAGAGGTTGGTGTTGGTTTATCTTAACTGGAAGCCTCTTGAGAATTCCAGAGATGCCCAGATTCCTTCCTTTTGTGAGCCTCCTTTTTTTAATTTAATTTTATTTTTGAGTCTTCTTTTTAGAATTCTCTTTGTCTCTGCAAGATGCCTCTCTGCAGCATGGAGCTTTTGTGGATGTCGCCTCTGGGCCCTGAACACCCACAACGCAAGTGGGATTCCAAAGGCTTTACAGGCCCAGTTCCCGGCAAGCTTTTCCCTGTGGGTCTGGGACTTATTACTTCTTGAATTAGGGAGTTGTCTCCAGTAGGTCCTATCCCAATGGGATCCCTGTGTGAAAGGTACTGGCTCTGAGCCCCACTGCCCATGTCCAAACCCTGGCCAAGCCACTTACTAGCTGCATGACCCTGAGTGAGTTACTTATACCCCTTTATGCTTCTGTACCCTCATTTGCAAACTTTGTAGCCTTATTTGAAGATTAAATGAATCAATATATGGAAGTATTTAGAATAGTGTTTAGTAATTATAAGTAATAGGCATCTTACCAGTTGTTGTTGCTGTTATTATTATTATCATTATTATTATTATTACTCAGGTGGAATGTTGCACTAATCCACTAAAACCCATAACCCTAATGGGCTCACAGGAATGGCAGAAGGGAACATTTAGGGGTTAGGGAGGGGTAGAGGCTTAGGAGAGAATTGGAAAAGAGTGGCAGGAAGGACTTCAGAACCTGGAAGAAAGGGGAGAAAGGGAGTCATTTTAAGCCAAACCGTGTAGACTCATGGTGAGAATTTTACCTTTCATGACCTCAGTCCAATGCATTGAAAGCTGACATGTTCAGCATCATAGGATCCCAGAGGCCTATATGCCTCATGTTTATCATCCTTCACTAATCATTTATTTTAAAAAGATATGGTAACAAATGGTGAGTATCAAGATAAGCATGTCCAGGTAGACCCTCTGCTTGGCCTATCTCCTGCTGATGAGAGAGTTGCTCAGGCAGGTTAATGGCAGAGCTATCAGCTCAGTGGGCTGAGAGTTTCACAGTCCTTGTATATTCCATCAACTTCTTGCTAGCTAGCACCCGAGGTTGGTGCATTTCCTAATTACTTATTGAGTGACTACGGTGCATCAGGCAATGTAAGGGCTGGGGGAAGAGCAGAAAACAAAAATGACAAAATCCTTATCCTTGTGGATTTTAAACCATATAATATATGAATAGTAGACATTAGTAAGTAGTAAAGAGAAAAATAAATCATAAGAGGGGGAAAGGAGTGCTGGGATGGTGCTAATTAGTTATTTTAAATATGTTGGTTAAAAAAAGATGCACGAAGGTTAAATGTGGGTGAAGATTTAAAGGAAATCAGGGAAAAAGTTATGCAGGTGTGTGGGAAAATAAAGCGAACAAGGGACTCCCCCAGATTATAAGATTTCGAAGAGAGATTTGGTGCAGGGACCTCTATGGCTACACTGTACCCACGGGGGTTCAATGTGTGGACTTGGTGGTTGCATTGAACGAGGATCAGGTGGCTGAGTAGTCTGCAGGGATTGGCTTCTCCAAGCAATAAGTTGTGAAACAGGGTCCCACTCAGGAGCCCCTCCCAACAGAGGGTGGGAAGGGACAAGTGTGGAAGGCTCTGTCTGCTGCACACTGTTGCTACGGGCATTGGGGTCCCCCTCCCGACCCACTATCCACAAATCAGGGGCATCAGATTAAGCCAGGAGGTCCCAAGAGCGGCTGACCCACCTTAGTTGCCAACTCACCTTACTTTCTCCTTGGCATCACTAAAACTCTCAGCCACAAAATACAGGGGCTGGAACTCTGTGACCGTGTAGTCCTGCACAGCTGTCTTCTCCATGTCCAGGGGCAGGAGCTTTGGCTTGTCTGACAAGCAGTACTGTAAATCCCAAGTAGAAAGTTTTCATAGTTAAATCAGGGCCAGCGGTCCCTGTTGCCTCCTACAAGCCATTTGTACACCTTCTCCCATCTCATCCTGTTTCCTTCTGCACCCCAGGCCAGTGCAGTAAGCTAAATTATTTCGCATCTACTAGATACCACCCTTTATAGCTCATCTAAAACTTACAGACAAGATAGAAAAGAATAATTCACTCCAACCATTTTCAAGTAAGGTGATCGATAGATGATGTGGGAGCCAACCACATTTTTCTGGCATGTGTGTACATACATCTGTATGCACAGTTCAGCCTTGGAATCAAGAGGCCCTTCTGTCCTGGGGACCTGCGTACGTGCAGTTCAATTTCTAACACCCACACTCATGATCAAATCATATCTGCTAAGGGGCCAATCACTTGAGGTTAATCCTCAGGATTGAGTCTCAGAATGGATATAAATGGGGTTTCCATAGCACCAAGAAAAAAAGAATCGTCAGCTGTTTCCCCCACTTTTAAATCCGTTGTTGGCTCCTGTTAGGGCCATACCTGTAATTCACCAAAGGATGACAGGAGCCCAGCTCCATATGCCTTTATGGAGTCTCCTTCTTTGCAGAGCCCAAACTCCACAGTAAACCAGTAAATCTGCAATGGAAAGTCAAGTTGAGAGCACACCCCAGGGAAGGTGAAGGCAGCAGAGGCCCCAGGATCAAGGACAAGCCTGCTCAGGTGAGAATTTGTGCAGGTCTCTTCTCTGAATCAGCATGACCTGGAGTTACCTCTCTGTCTCTGGTGTCTCACATTACACCATCACCTGTTGAATCAAGAGTCAGCTGAATGCAGGATGTAACAGGAAGCGTGGTAGCGGGGGAGAGTATTGAGGGAGCCCCAAAAGCATACCCCTAACAAATTCCTCTCTCTAGGACAGGAATTCCCCCCCCCACCACCACCACCACTTGTGCTTTCTTCTCCATGGTATCAACTAGAGTAAGATGTTCTCTTTAAGTTGATGGAAGCTATCAGGCATCTCCATCAAGCTCAACAGTGGGAGGCAGGGGATTGGGTGGTGATAGAATCAATGGGGGGGGGGGGTCATTCCCTCGCTTGTGCTAAACTTGGGCTGTTTCTAAATTACCCCATCAGTCACTGCTTCCACACACACACTTTATGCCCAAGAATTCCCAATGGTGATTATTGCAGCCTGTTGCTGTTTTCAAGGCACTTTGTTTAGAATCACATGTAAATATCTGCATGCAGCTGATTTCAAAATCAAACCATTAAAGAGAAGTAAAAATGTAAAATTTCACTTGTGCAAATATAACCCAGCACATTCTGATTTTCTTTCCACATGACCTGGCTTTCAGGGGAGGATAGAAACAAAAAACCTGAGGGCTAGAGCCCGTAACATTCCCACTACCCACCAGGGAAAACAGGAACTTACTGTGGCGAGTTTTTCAACATACTCATCAGGTGCACCCAAAGAGGCAAGGCCAATTTCCTGTAATTGTGGAGAAACAGAGTCATTGGCATGACTGGGGTCTGCCTATCTTCAACCTTTATCTTCAGTTTCAACCTTGTACTTGACCACAGAAAGGTGATAGTTAGCCTGATGCCCTCAAAAGAGCCCAGAGAGACCCTGATTTTTCTGTCAAGTCTTCCCTAACCACACATCATAGAACCCCAGATCTCTAGAGTAGGAGAAACAATTGGTCCTTTGTATCCATTTATAGATGAGTACACAGTGGCACAGAAAAGGGCAATGACCTGCTCAAGGTTACACAGTACTTTGTGTCTACAGCTTCATCTCTTGATTCCAACTCAGTGATTATTCTCCCACAGCAGAGGTGGAACATTCCTGAGTGCTAAGTGAGTCTTGATCATATATCCTGAAGACATCACAAGAGAAGTGCTGGACATCTGTCCAGGTATATACTCGTATAGTTGGAGGGTATGAAATGTCATGGACCACTTCTCATCACATCTCCAGCTGTATAATTTCTCTAGTGGTCTCTGTCTGTTACAGCATTTGCTTCAGCCTGCCTTGCATCAGTGTGTGTATAGACACACACACACACAGACACACACACGTCGCCTTTACTGCATGCATTAATTTATTGTAAAAGTATTCATTGAGTGCATTCTATGTGGCTGTAGGTATACAAAATTGATCAAGATCCTTTATCTCGTGGGGTTTACATTTGAGTGGGTAGAAACAGACAATACGTATTAAGCATATACATGGGTACGTTAGAAGGTTATAAGTTCTCTGGAAGAAACAAAAGGAGAAAAGGTCAAGGGGCATTGAGAGTGCCCGGAGTGGGAGTAGTGCCAGGAGTGATTTTAAATAGGGTCCAGGGTAAGCATTGTTGAGATGGTATTTGAGCAAAAACTTGATGAAAGTGAGGCTCTTGACTCTGCTGACATCTGAGGGAAGAGCATTGTATAGGCCAAGTGTACACTCAATGAAAAGCTCTGTAAGGAGGGGTAATTCATTTGGTTCAAGGAACAGAGAGGGAGGGACCAGTGTAGTTAGAGCAGAATAAGAGGGTGAGGGGAGTGGCAGGTGATATCAAAGAGGAATCTGGAGCCCAATCATGTAGGACCTGTTTGGTTATTTAGGGCTTAAGATTGTCCTCTCAGTGAAATGGGGAGCCATTACAAGGTTTTGAGCAGAGAAGTGGCAAGATCTTATTTTATGTCATCAAAGATTCACTCTGGCTGCTGGGTAAGAAAAGTCTCCAGGGGGTTGGGAGTAAAGGTAGGGAGACCAGTTAGGAGGCTACTGTAGTCACCAGGGTGAAAAATGCTAGCAGCCGAGCCAGGTTGGGAGCAGTGAACATGATGGGTAATGGCCAGATTCTACACACATTTTGAAGGTAAAACACTTAGAATGTTCTGAAGGGTTGGTTTTAGGTATGTAAGAGAGAAAGGCAGTTATGTGCCCCAAGTGCTTTTTGTTCGAGAAACCGGGTAGACACAGTTGTCATGAACTAATATAGGGAGGGCTGTGGGGAGAAGGTTTGAATGGAAAGTCAGGAATTTACTTTTGGATAGGATAAATAGAGTTGCCTGCTAGACATCCAAGTGGGGATATCGAATAGGTGATTGGATATGCAAATCTAAGTTTTAGGATTAAAGTCTGGGATGAAGATATGTGTTCATTATCTGGGTAAAGATAGTATTCAAAGCTATGATATTGGGTGAGATAACCAAGGAATTAATGTAGACAGTGAGAAGAACTAGGAATTAAGTCCACTATAAAGCAAAAAGCTATATGGTCTTTACCCCTGTATTTCTACCCAGGCTAAACCCAATACCTGGCCCAGATTGCATGCTGGGAAAATGCTGTCTAGTTAAAATGAACCAAATTTAGATACTGGCTTAACCTAGCTCTACTCTCCTGCCCCTTCCCCATCCCCTCTCCAGAAATGCCACAGTCCTAAGTCTGTCTTAAATCCAAAATCAAAATGATACCTTGTTCCAGTAGTCACCATTCCTTGTGAGCCCTGGGCTTGCTTAGAACATGGGGTCTCAATATTTCCCTATGCTCCATCCCTACCCTATCTTTCACTCTAGCAGAAAGCAAGTTCTGCTTTTAGATTAAAAAGGAATGTGCCCAGGGAAGTTTCAAAATGTTTCTCAGCCTTGGGACTTCCCAGGTCAAAGTAGAAACCATGTGACCCTCATGGCCCACAGCTTCCATTTCTTGACTCAGGTTATTGTCCATTCCTCTGTGAGGCTCCACAAAATGGAAATGACCTAAGAAGGATTGTTACTTAGCCTCTGATTGTGTGGAATAGCTTCTGGTGGTGAGGACAAAAAGTTCCTATTCTCTGAGAACACTGACTTATCTTTGGCCATACTAACAAACTCTGGTTCTAAAGCTTCCCAAACAATCAATGACATCCTGGCAGCAAGAACCACACTTCTGAAAGTCCGCCACTCAGCAGTAACCTCAGTCCAGTCATAACACTTCCACACTTAAGGTTCAACTAGTTCTTAAACACTCCCACTTCTAAAAGTCCAGTGATCTCTGAACTCCACAATTCCAAGAATCCTACATAAAAGAAGTAGTTTTCTTTGTTTGGAGAAGGCTGTGTCTCACAAGTACAATTCTCCTTTACTTAACAAGCAATTAACTCAGCTCTTTGTTTGTTTATCTATTTCAGATATTAAGTAGTAGCCTCTTCATTCAACAGTAGAAATAGTTATTTCTTCCAGTTGCTTATAAAATTCACATACAATTCCATTATTGTGAAATTCATCCTCAGTCCAGCATTTGCTCATGGGTCATTCTATTTGATCCTGTGTGTGTGTGTGTGTGTGTGTGTGTGTGTGTGTGTGTGTGTGTGTTTAAGGCTTTTTATTGATCCATATCTGTGGATACTGAAGCATAGGGTGGCCTGGCAAGGCTACTTGTCTCAGGTCACACAGCTGATGGGTGGCACAGTGGCACCTATGAGTTCATCATTCAACAATCTCATGATTCCCCCTCCCCAACCATAGTACTAGGCTGCCTGCCAGTGCCCAGAGACCACAAGTAGGATTCTTTCACTGACCCCAAAGGCATTTTTTTAACCTGGTCACCACTGTGATAGATGAATCAAGAACTAGACTGTTATTTTGATGATAGTAAGAAGACCATCATCAAAACAAGCAGCTTATTATTTTTTGCCAACTCTGAGTTGGCTTTGGATTCTATTGGCATTGAATTCTTGGTAAATGTCATCTTACTTAATGAAAGCATGTGCCAAATGACTGCTTGAGAAGATAGGGTTACTTCTACATGGGGACCAAGGAAGCTTTCATGGACGAAAAGGCTCTTAAACTATACCTGGCAGGACAAGTGAGATTAGCAAATTCAACAATATAATTCAGAAGATGAGCAATTCACCAATCCCACTCTGCGGTCTCTCAAATGGATATTTAGCCCTCTCCACAGAACCATACGCCCCTCTCAGGGGGGGCACAGAACTGTACCTTCCAGAAGATAAGGGAGCGCCTCCATGGTGTCAGTTTATCTGAGCAACCGAGGTCTCACCCCTGTAGCTAGAAGGCTAAAGAGGTTCACTCCTCACCTGGGAAAACTGGGCAAAACTGCGATCTGAAAACAAGGGCACGTGTCCCAACAGCTCATGGCAGATGTCGCTGAAAGATAGAAAGCACAGAGTTTGGGAGTAAAGAAGGGTTACAACGTGAGCTAGACTCAGTCTTTTCACACAAGGAATGGGCAGAAAGAAATGAAGTAATTCATTCAGGTTTATGACCTCACTTCCAAGAATAAGGGGTGTGCAAACCTTGGGAAGAGATGAGGCAGGGTGTAAGAGAAAAGAAGGAAGGGGAAAGAAAAGTAAAAGACAGGGCAGGACACAGCAGCCAGGGGGTCTTAGGTGTATGCCCGCTGAGGTGCAGAGGGGCAAATATTCCTGTGGGCATCCTCTCATACACCTGAGTGGGCTGTGGGTCATGAACACTTTCCATCCCAAGTCTTCACCTTGGCATTGACATTCCTGGGCATATCCAATGTGCTCAGGTATTCCCCAAAGGAAATTTTTAAAAAATTTAATAGTACCATTCCTCTCTTATTTTGGAGTGGGCAGTGGTCAATCAGAGAAAAAAACACATTGATTTAACACCTTATGTGCCAGATCCATTAAAAACAGATCTTTTCTGATTTAAAGTAATGAACTTTGTGGGCAGAGAAAGACTATTTGGGGTGTCCTGCCAACTTTTTCTATACATTACTTAATATTTAGCTGCCTAAGAAGACAGCTAAATTCAAAAGTAAGCAGTGTAGCTCCAGCCATTCTGTACCTTCAACCAAAATACAATCTAGGCAAGGAAAGCTTAGACTCATCTAGGCGTGTATTTAGGTGATGACAGAGCTTGCCGCCTGTTTTCCTGTTCCCATTTGAAACTTCATAGCTCTGACTTCTACAATCCTTTTGAAATTTGAATGTGACCTTTCATTCCCATGGCCAGGGGAGGTCTGAATCTTTAGCTCACAAGATGCCCAAATTTCCGATCAGTATGGTCTATCTGTTTGGAGAGAGAAAATCCCTAGAAGAGATGAGTTTTTCTCTTCATGTCAATCAAATAATCCAGGCAACTTGTTCTAAAGATCGTCCACAATGAACCCAACCCTCATTTCCGAATGAGGGAGAGGTGGCCTACGCTCTCGCTGGAGGCTGGCGGTGGGAGGACCATACTCACGGTTCGGGTGTGTACATGGGTTTGGACCCATGCCTGATGTACTGGGTACAGTGGAAGACTCGGAAGGCCAGGCCACCCAGGAAGTCCCGAGAGGAAAGCAGGCCAGCCACAGGCCGGAGGCGAAAACCAGTGCAAGCTGGGGAGCAGGGAGAAAGAAAACTCAATACCCATCACAGCAGGGCCAGAGGGCCCTGAAGCTTTAGGTAGCGAAGCAACACACGCAGCTACCCAGGAGCATGGGTGCCAACGCCAGGTAGACTGGGCTTCAACTGTCTGCCCCAGGGCTTGCCAGCGGGGGGGTGTGGGCCAGTCAGTTCACTTCTCTGAGCCTCAGTTTCCTCACCTGCAACACGTGGATAAACACTTCTTAAGATTGCTCTAAGAATCAACAGAGCTAATAAAGTACTTTCCCATACCTAGCACTTTGGAAACATCCAATAAATGTAGCTGTCATTGTTGTTTGTTAAGTCGAAACACCTATTCCCCCCTTGTCCTGTTTCCAGAGTGAGAGGGGACATTCACTGCACTTCCCAGGGAGAAAAATATGAAAGGAGCACCCGGCCTCCCCATTGCACCTCACACAGGCCACCCTGGGAGAAGCGGTGGCTTCTCTCCTTGGAGCCCTTGGGAAGAGGAATGAATATTCTCAGTTCCACACTGTCTCCCCTTTCTCTCTTGACTGTCTGTCCAAGAAACACACTCTGGCCTGCTCTTGGCCATGCAATGGACTATACACTGTGCCAATGAATTGTCAAATAAGTTCACCTAATCTAGGGGTGAAATATCAGGGAGTCCATGGGGGCTGCACATCTCTACCACATTCTCTACCACATTCTCTAAGCTGCTTTTATCAGCAATAAGGCTGACATTTTGTTCGTCATTCTGGTTCTCGTATTTATCTTTCAACTCCTGTCAGACTTAGGTGGAGAATGACAGTGAACAGTGAACACGGTAATAATAGTTAACACTGTGCATTACTTGCCATCTATCAGACACTGTTCTAAGCACTTTATACACACTAACTAATCCTGATAAAAATTCAGTGAGGTAGATGCATTTACTATCTCCACTTTAGAGACGGGGAAGTTAAAACACAAAGCAGGTCAAGTTCTTGTCCAAGGTCACAGCTGCGGACAGCCTGGCTTCAGAAGGTGTTCTCTTAATTACTACTATCTAACTCCCCAGTTGTTAATATTAATGTTTTCTTTTTATTATTATTGGCCATGGATACATGGGTAATTAGCAAAAGAATGTCTTTAGGACCCCCTTACCCCTCTACTTATGTTCCCTGGGCCTTCAGAGCGAAGTTCGCTCTGCTTGAGCTCTCGTTCTCCTATTGATCTGAGAAGCAAAGACTCTCTCAATGGAAGGAACCCAAAAGGTCATCTAGCCCATCTACAATCTGTCCCAGCTGCCACCCCTTCCTGCCACACAGCCTCTCTGGCTCCCTGCCCCAGGGCCGACCACACCATCACCACAGAGCTCAGAAGCACAGAAAGTTCTTCATTCCTATAAACCCACTTCCCTGCATTCTACTTCCAGGTGGGTGTTTACCATGGGTTAGTTGATTGTTCTGTTTTGGTTTTGCTGAATTAACAACCCTTCCTGGCAGAGAGGGAAACACTTATCTTCCTGGAAATGCACTGAAGAGCGCGGTCACCCTAAGAATGGATTTCTCCACTGCGGTACTCAGAGTGCAAATGCACCGAGCCCCAGTGCACTGAGCACCTCCCACAGATATATCACTGTGCCAGTGCTTTCCACGCAACATTTTATTTTATTCTCACAATCGCCCTGAGAAAGGCTAAAAGGCTGACACAGGCCCCACTGGACAGATGTCAAAACTGAGGTCCGTTCACCCAACTAGAGAAAGTCGGAGCATGATTCATACCAGAAGGATGTATGTAGACTTAGAGCTCAGGGCCCTTAGCTCTGCCCCACAAACAGCACGTTACCTACACAAAGGCACGCTGCAGCCTCTCATAACATAACAGAGGTGCAAGGAGAACCCTGACTGAGAGACCTGGGCTTTGCATATAAAAAAATAAAACACTTTTCATGGGCACCAATGAGGCTAAATTCATGCCTGGTGCCTTTGCGGGGAGTTGGAGCTCAGCAGTGACGTTTCGCTTTTCCTGGGAGAATCAACGTGAATGCATTGCCACAAACACACTTCCCCGCCTGCCCCTGTAGCCTGGACCCTGACGTGGACTTACACTGCAGGAACTGAGAAACCTCTTCCAGCTGGGGAATGTTATCCTCACGGAAGCCACAGTACTTCTCCAGCAGTGGGAAGATGTGATTGTGCTCGTAGCAAGCGTGGGTTTTATACAAGCTCTTCAGGGTCCTGAACACCGTCCCCCATGTTTTCTTTTCTTCCTCTGTGTATTCCACTCGTGGGATGGGCTGCCCACTAGAAGACAGGCATGAGTTATTTGTCTCTGGCTCAGCAGGTGCACAGTGGTGGATGAAGGAGCGTCAGCAGGGGGAGATGGGCCAGGGTCTGTGAGCGGCCACCACCTGGGCTCCAGTGCATTTCATAGGTTGTTTGAAAGAGGGAAATTCTACTTCTTGGTGTAGGAAACATTCAACTGATTTGATTAAACAACAATACGAGGTCTCTCCTCATCCACTGCACCAAAGACTTGCTGTCACATTGGGAAGTCACTTGGCCTTTCTGCTCTCTTATCTCTCCAGTTATTTAAGTAAGGTGGAAATTCACTTACCTTCAGAGGCCAGCCAGACAGGTAATGTAAATGTATAAACCAGCAGCTATAGGTAATAAGAGGGTGGGGCTGAAAAAACTGGAGAGTGTATCCTCTTTCTAAAGGAAGGCATTCAAGTTCAATTAAAGTTTTGTATTATGTCAACTAAAGCAATTATATCTGTGGCCTAAAGTGGGTTTAATATGTGCACCATGAGTTTGAGACTCTTGTTTAGTGGGCTTGCACTTTCTAGAATTTATATTTCAGCCCCTGGGAAGTCATAAAGGTATTTAAATGCATGTTAGGCATACAATCTGCTTACCTAGCATCTTCTGCCATGACGTAAGAGAACTACAGGGAGCTTGTTGAAGTACATATGTTGGCCCAGCCCCATAGACCCTGAATCTGTGGGGGCAGGGAGGGTCCAGGCATCTAGATTCCAATAAGCTCCCAGGTGACACGTTATAGTTTGAGAGTCATTAGTTCCAAAGGTCCTTTTGAAAACTGTCTATGAATGAGCTGTGTTCTGAACAGCGAAATAAAATAAAACCAAAGAAAGCCGGCCTTCCAAGCCCAGGGACTGTTCTGCAGGCTGCAGCCAGCCTGTTTCCTAACAGGGTGCACAGTGGGTGTCCTTATCTGATAAACAGCTCGTCATCACCAGGCCCTAAACTAGGTCGCCCCTGCCTTTTCAGAATTGGAGCTCATCCAAGGACAGGAAAGCAAGGTCCCTGTTATGTTCTACAGAGAGGCGGGCAGGACTTAGGGAGGAAAGACAGATGATTGCTTAAGTATTGAGAGAAGGGCAAGGCCCTGTAACAACCAGCAGGAATTAAAACAAGAACATCAGGTAAGGCCCTGCCTGAGGATGTGACATTATTTCAGGGCTAAGTGCTGATGAAGGAAAAGAACAGGCTTTGGAAACGAGCAAAGTTGGGGTCAGTACTTGGCTGTGCCATTTCATAGCTGAATGACCTTGGGAAATTTAGTAAACCTCTCTGAGCCTAGCCTGTGCAGCTGTTGCATGGGCTGACTATTCAGAAGCACATTTTATCAACTGATCAATATACCGAGATTCTACGATTCATGAGGCATGAGTTCGATTCCCATGTGGAGCAAAGATTGGAAAGGTGTTAGAGACCCAAATGTGGAGGCTGTGGGCAGGGAGGGTGGCAGAAGGCAAAGGAGAAGGCCAAAGTTGAGTCCTGAAAGATGTTGTAGTTTCTGGGGTGGGAGGAGCTGGCCAGAGGAGACTGAGAAGAAACTTCAGAAAGGAAGGAGAGAAATGAGCAGAAAGTGAAATAGATGGAGAAGTAACACCTCCTGACTCTGAGGGCTCCCCGGCACTCGGGGAAGTGATTGAGAATGACTTTGCAGTTAAACAAGCCTGAATTCAAAACCAGAACATGCCACTTACTAGAGTATGTCTTTAACAAGTTACTTAACTGTTTTAAGCTTTAGTTTTCCCATCAGGAAAATGGGGAGTTACTGCTAAGACTAAATGAAATAATGTAAATAAAGTGTTTAGGACAGGCCCGGACAAAGCAGGGAGATAATAAATGTGATCTATTGTTATTGATGAGCTGAAGAAGGACTCTTGTCTCTAACTGATTTGATGATGTCCACCTGCCATTCTGGGACAAAGGTAAGGAGAGGAGAGAGAGGCCCCAGGTTCTGTGGTTCCTGCTTGCCACCAGCCAAAACCCACATGCATTAGACCAAACTCAGCACAGCTCTGGATACTTCCACTATGAGGAGTCACTCAGGGAAGGAAATTTTCTCATTTGACAGGTGAATTGGTCTCCAGAATAGAACTCTATCATCTCCTTTATCACCCTCATAGTCTAAGTTCTAAAGAACCATTACTCAGTGTTCTGGCCAATTATTAAGTTTCTCCTGGTGCACATCTTTTCTCATGCCCTGAACTCAGGAATGGGGTTCAGACCCCCAGACACTAAGTTTCCCATGGTAGCATCTCTATGGTTCCTCAGGACTCAAAATAGCACACTAGTTCTCTTCCAAATAACCTATTTGATGTTTGCACTTTCCTTTGGCTAAAAGAAGGTAGGAGAGGGGCAGAGAATCCAAGAGAGGGAAAAAGACACTCATCGGAAAACTGCCCTTCACAGCTGGGTTGGGTGGATGAAAGGAGAATGCTGAGGCTGGCTCGCCTGGAACTTCACGTGACTCATTATTTCACCAACTGCTTCTTGAATGTAAATGATTCTCTTTTTCCTTCTTCCATGTTTAATATGGAGAATATCAGAGGCTCCTTTATTCAGGACTGAGGCCCTTTATAATCACTTCAGACATCACTGCATAATTACACAACAAAGCCTGAGAAGGGAGCTGGGCCCCAGCCAGTGGGTAATTTGTTTTGTCTAGCAGGATTTTTTTTAACAGGTGTTATTAAAGGGAGGGTCTACACACGCGCGCGCGCGCACACATGGCAGGGTTCTCCATGCTGATGTTTCCCATCTTGGCCAAGGGAGAGGCAGGCTAGCAGTGTGCTCTTCTTTCTTTCCCCCACCAACCAAAGTAAGCAGACTTACTGTCGGTAGTTGTAGGCTATGTCAGCAAATTGCTTCCGTCTGGCTCGGTACACGGGATCTTTAAAACCCTAGGAGAAAGGAGACACTTGCTAATCTCGAGACTTTGGAGGGAGAGGCCTTGTGTACCTATGAACACTCTGAATGGGAGCTCTTGACCTTGGACAGTGTTTTTCCTTGCCTTGACTGTACCCTGAAAATAAAGTCTCAGTGAAACTGAGGGTAAGCTCTCCTACCACTATGATGGGAGACATGTTAATTAACAAAACCTCCAACTTGGTGTGAACCTCTGTGCCACAGGATTGCAAAGTGCAAAGGGTGTACAGGTTTTAAAGAAATCTCATCCATAGCATTTCTACAGTGGACACTTGCTCCATTAGGCCAAGCCAGTAGGATCGGCATTTATGATGAAGATATACAATATCCCCTAAATGCTTGACTAATGGTAAGTGTCCAGCACTGCCTCCTAACTTCTTGACAGACAAACAGTATATGCTTACAGTCATTGCAATTTTTTAAAAATGCCATTTATTCACTGCCTGCTCTGAGCCTGTCTGTGTGTGCTAGAAACTTATTTTATTTCTAACTCTCACAATAAACTTGTAAAGTAGACTATTTTACAGAGATATCTGTACCCCCATGTTAATTACAGCATAATTCACAATAGCCAAGACCTGAAAACAGCCTACGGTTTAATTGATGGGTGAATGAACAATATTCCATTACATATGAATGTTATTTAGCCATAAAAAAGGATGAGGAAATCTTCTGACAGTATGGATAGACTTTGATGGTATTAGGCTAAGTGCAGTAAGTCAGACAGTGAAAACAAATACTGTATGATCTCACTTATAGGTATATATTTTGAGAAATAAAGAAATGCAAATGTTTCACACTGGAAAAGTAAAGCAAAATTACCATACATTTTTTTCATTCCAAACCTAAGTTCCAGATAAGTTAGGATCATTGTTTAGAAAACATTCTATGACATGATTATTACAAAGTATAATTCATTTTCCTTAGGGCATTGAGTGGTTTTGAATCATTAATTGCAGGTAAAAAAAGTTTAGGAATATGAAAAATTAGAATTACCATTGGGTCTACTTCTTCTGGGAGAAGGTAAGTTGCTTTGAGATGATGTGGTAAGAAAATTGGGCACCATGATTTGATTTCCAAGCAGGACTAGCATAACCTTTTATGAAATTGTTTTCTGGGCTGATGAAGAACACACCTCCAAACTTCGAACTCCAAAGATAAATTTAATGGCTGTCAATCACTAAGGTTCAATCGTGACAGTCACCCTCACCTTCCAGTCTTATTTAACAGTCAGTAGTAAATGACCATCAACAGCTCCAAAGTAAGGAGTGTAGACTTTTGCACTTACAAGGTGCCTTGGAGAATAGGAGAACATCTCCCTGGGGAAGGTGAAGCTCAGAGAGCCGTTTGCCCAAGAATCCTTAACTACAGAACCAGGACCTCCACTTGGGTTTGCTGGACCTACCCAAGGGGGTGAGTGGAGGTGGGAGGGTTGTGGCAGAAAACTAGGGAGACAAGAGAAAAATTCCCTTAACCCGTGGATCCAACTCATCAGGCTGTCTCCAGAAAAGGGGGGTCATGACAACTTCTCTTCCCTGGTGGACTCTTTATCTTTAATCTGTAATGTACAGTCTAATTATTTTTCCATCCACGAAAGAAAAAAAAAGCTTAGTATAAAATTGTGTATCCAGTAGGTGTCAACTATGTCAGAGAGAATGTATAAATACATAAATGAAATGATGGAAGAAATACACCAGAGCCTAAAAAATGGTATGAAAATGAGAAAGAGTAACAGTTTTTATTCTTGTATACTATTTATGTTTTTGAAGTTTTCTTTTGTGTGTGTGTATGTGTGTGTGTAGGGGGGCTTATAGTTTAAAAAAAAAAGTAAAATACTAGTAAAAGCCTGTCTCCAATCATTACAGAAAGTGGCAGCAGACTGTTTCATTGAGATGCATCAGCACATGCACATGTACTGTATTGCACAGATTTTCTCTATGGGATGGTTTCTAACAATGGTCCTTTTCAGCTCTAAGCTGCTAAAAAGTTCATTATTAGTCTGCAAGGGGATCCCATCAACTAGGCTGCATGGATTTTGGGCTTTTGCTTTCTCAGTTACCAGCGAAATGTAACCTTGAAGTCCACCTCTCGAGGAGTTGGCCTTGCATTCTTCGGGCTGCTGGGTGACCACAGGCCTCTGCAGCCATGTGGAATACGCTCTGAATGGAGCTGCAGTTGGAGACGACTAATCATCCTGTGTCAATTTACGCTAATAGCAGCAATGTCAGTAGCGCTGCATGTAATTTATTTATAATCGCCCTATCTCAATTAAGCTAATAGCAGCAATTTTGGTTGCACTGCGGGTAACCAAGTATGTTTTGACAGGAAAATATATCACTGGTGAAGAAGTGATGAGGGGAAGGGGGGAGAGGGAGGACAGATGGAAGAAAGTAGAGGGAATTCTACGGGATGCAAAGTTGACATGCAATCACTTTTCTTAATCTCAGGATTTTTGTTACTTGAGGGTGTGGAGGCGTCTGATTTTGTTTTTGTGGGAGCTTGGGGGAAAGAGCAGTTATAAGGAAAAGCCTTCAGAGTATTCTTCTAGATAGAGACCTTGATGTCATCATTTCTTGATATCATGGCTAAAGCTAAACTTCAGAAATGCCATCTTTAGTCAGACAGGCTGGAACTAATGTAAAATAATGTTGAATGCCAACTCCCATTGAAAAAATAAAATTAAAAAAGAAAATGACTACAGGCAAATTTTAACCTTAAAAAAATGTCTGACAGGCTGGGCTGGATTTTTAACCCATTTGATCACTAGGAGCAAGGCTGGTCAGTTCACCTCTCACAGCCTCAGTTCCTTCGTCGGTAAAAAGAGACAGTTCATGGCAGCTACCTCACAATGTTGGGTGGATTAGATCAACTAAAATTCTGAGTACGAAGGAGACACTCGCCGTGACTGGTACAGCTCAGTTGGTTGGGCATCATTCCACAAAACAAAAGACAACCTGTTCCATTCCTGGGCAGGGTACAAGATTGGGTTGTGGGATCGGTCCCTAGTCGGGGCGCCTGCAAGAGGCAACCCATCCGCGTTTCTCTCTCACATTGATGTCTCCTTCCCTCCTTTTTTCCCTCCCTTTCCCTCTCTCTAAAAATAAATAAATAAAAGTTTTTTGTTTTTGTTTTTTTTAAGGAGACACTCAAAGAATAATGCATTCGTTCACAATGGCAGGAAGTCCAAAAGCTGAGATGTCTTGCTCAGAACAGAGAAAGGATACTCTCTGGAAGGGTCACTGAACCCCACCCATCACCCATCCTTGGGCTTTTTAAACAGCATCTTGAGAATTCTTATCTTGCTATTTATATTTCATCTAGACCAGTAAGAAGAGGCTTTTTTGCATTCTATCAGTCTCATGCCCACAGGAGGAAGGTTGGTACATAGGAGACAAGAGGTTCAAAGTGACACTTTTTAAGGATGTGCTACTGTCATTCTGTAGACACAGGCCAAAGGTTTGCAAACCAAGGGACACAGGCAGTGCTCACCCTGACTCCTGCCCTTGTCCACACTGTTGTAAGCCATGGTCACCTCCAATAAAGCCTGTTCTGGAAAGGATTCAGACACCTGGTTTGGTTGCCCAAGCCAGTAACCTGGGAGTCACTGTTTTGCTTCTCTCCTCCTCCCTTTCTTCACATCCAATACTCTATATCTGTCTATTTTTTCCTCTCAGATATCTTGAGCCAATCCTTTTTTACTTTATTCTCATTGTCACACCTTGGCTCAGGCCTCCTTCATTTCTTGCCTGGACCACTATGACTGCTTCCTTTGCTCCTCTCCAAAACCACCCCCCTTGACTTCAGCCCAAGTCAACCTTACAAAATGCAAGCCTGGTGGCATCACTCCCCGCCTTAAAAACTTCAATGGCTGCTCATCACTTTTAGGATGTAGTCCAAAATCCTTAAGGTAGTCTACAAGGGTCTATGTGATCTTGCCTTGCCCACACTTCCCACTCTGTGCTAATCTACAACTCTCCACATGTTATGTCTCCAAGTTTGTCCAGAATGGTCTTATTTTAATTCTTCAAACACACCATGCTTTTCTCCCCCATGTTGCCAGGCTCACAGTGGTATCCCAGTCCCCTCAGACATCCCTTTGGAAAGAGCAGCCACCCCTCCCCCCACAACCCCAAACGTGGAGGCTCCTGAAGGGCAAGGTTCATGTTCCATTAATTGTTTCAACCCCCTTCCCTGCACATGGCCAGGGACACCATTCGCAGACACATGAGGCCACAGAGCCCACTCTGGCTGAGATTTCTCATCTGAAGGTGAGAAAGTACAACCCTCCCATGGGTTAGAACATTTAAATTTTTAAAATGCAGGTAAAGCGTTTAGCACAGTGCCTGGCATACCAACCATACTCAAGAAATGTTGGCTCTGAATATCACTCACTTAATAAATATGTGTGGATGGAAGAAAGAAATCAAGGATCAGGGGAAGGCAGGGTGGACAGAGTGGAGTACAGCTATCCGAGCTCATTTCCCCACTTCACAAACACCCCAAGGCAGATGCCCTTCTCCTCTGTTTGGGGAACAATCCTTCCCTGGCTTCATTTCTCCGAGCAGCTGTGTTGGAGGCCCTGGCTTGGGGTATTGGGTCAAACATCAGCACCTACTGCCAAGAGCAGGGGTCAGGGCAAGGCAAGCTCATCCTAAATACCATGGACAGCGGGGAACAGAGGGTCCTCTCTGGAGGAACACCCGCCCCTCTCCTCACACCCTGGAGGGTTTGCTCTGTCCTTGGCCCATCACTTCCCAGATCTGATGAGAAGCCACAGGAAGGAACAGAGAGAGCCTGGCTCCCTCGTCAGGGGGACTGTGTACCTGATAAATTATAGTTTTATGACAAAATTCATGACACCGAGAGGCCAGAGAGCCAAAGACGTGGGCTGGGTCTGTAAGAAGAAATTAATTCCAGAGTTTTAAGATCAAGCCCATGAACTGGCCTCTCTTCCCACATCTTCAAATGACGGGAGTGTGGCCAACAAACGGGAAGGAGCTTGGGGGTGGGGGCTGGAGGTTGGCGAGAGGAGGAAGGACCAAGATGGGCTGATTCCAGGGCCTGGGTCAGAGGCAATCAGACAGCTTTTTAGAGAAACGATATCTTTGGAGATGCTTTGCTCTCGGGGCCCATAGGCCAGAGGCCCCAGGCAGAGATGTGTCAAAGAGAGTCATTCACAATCTACTCAACAGTAAGGACCCACATGATGTGGGGAAAAAACAGACACTGGATGAAACACAGACACTCCCATTAATGGTCTACTAAACCGCTGCCAACGAGAATAGCCTTCAAGTCATTTGAAATCAATCAATGGAGGCAGTTGCCTGGTGGACATGAAAAGGCCATCACCCCGATGGTAGCACCTCTCGCCTCCAGGGGCTGTCAGAATGGGCTTCAAGCCCAGCCTGGACTGTGGCTCCCAGGACCCTCCACCCCAGCGCAGAGGGGGAAAAATCTCCCCACCCTGGTCCTCTACCCAGAACCATTAAAGGACCCACTCCCCTGCCCCTAGGACACAGGACACCGTCTGAGTTCTCGACGGGAACTACACCGTGCACAGCCTTACACCTACACACCAGCCAGCCATTCTAAATATCCCGGGTTCCCTCAGGGCCCTGACCCTGGCATGTACTGTCTCCTCAGACGGGAACACCTCCTGTTTCCCTATTTGACTGGCATCTTCCACTCAGTTTCCAAGATCCTGTCCCCAGGTCACCCACCATTCCCTGTGCCACCTGGGACGTGGCAGAGCTATTAGGGCAGCTCACTGTTTCCCAAGCACTTGAATTAAACTCGGTAGCTGGACAAAGTCAGAGAAATAAAGATGACTTGCATATATGTGTGTGGTTGTGTGAGTGTATGCACATACTTACATGCCTGTATTATGTATAAACAACAGTGTCTGGATGGTAACCCTTCCTCACTCCAGCAACAATGGCCATGGTAAGGATGATGTCACCACCCTCACTGAGTAGGCCCTCCGTGAATGACTGCTGTCCAGGCAAACAAGCGAAGACACTTTGCTGCAAACGGGGTCACGGGAGTAAGATGCTGGGGGTGGGGGAGGGGAGGAAGCCGAAGAACTGCAGGGGCAGGGCCGTGGACTCACGGGGTGGTCTGCGTCCAGTTCCGCGCCGTAGCTGAGGATCTGGTTGGCGAATCGGTCCAGATCTTTAATGGTTTTCGGGAACCAGGGCACTGCAACACAGAAAGGGCAGAGTCCTGAGCGGCAGGGCGGCAGAGCACGGCCAGAGACGTCTCCAAGGGCAGCGGCGCGTGGTCGCCCGGATGAGTCCATGGCGGTGAAAGCTAAGGCTCCGGGTATCCTCCAAATGGCTGATTATATAGGAAATCATATTTTCTTTGAAAAATGATTGTATTTTTTATTCCAGCTTTGTTGAAGTATAATTGACAAAGTTGTAAGGTACTTAAAGTGCACATGATTGTGATTTGATATCCGTACATGTCGTGAAATGATCCCCCCCATGCGCTGATTCCCATATTCATCATCTCACAAGCGTTTCTCCTTATTGGGGGAGGGGCGGGGTAAGAACATTTAAATTCCACTCTCCGAGCTAATTTCAGTCATATGATACAGTGTCACTAACTACAATCACCATGTTGTACGTTCGATCTTCCAACCTTATCTGCCTTATAACGGACAGTTTGTGCCCTTTTACCATCTCCATATTTCCTCCACCTCAGCCCCTGGCAACGACTTATCTATTCTCTGTTTCCATGAGTTTAATTTTTTCTTTAGGTTCCATAGCATAGAAATGATACCATGCAGTATTTGTCTTTCTCTGTCTGGCTTATTTCACTTAGCACCTTGGAAACCAATTTTAAAACACATTCACAAACGTATTCTCTTTCCTGGAGATTTTCTCTGAATTATCTCAAAATTCATCTCCCTCCCACCTGTTATGGGACAGCGGAGTCGTTTTTGATGTTTTTCTTTAGCAGCGGAATATTACAGGTCATCCTGGAATATAAATCAGATAAAAACCAGAGCTGTTCTACTGTCAGCAAGGATGAGCCCACAAGACCCCCTCTTCCTATCACATGTCTCCCCTCAAAGGCCCCTGGGCATCCTGGAAGGATCTTCTGATGCCAAAGCCGCCTTGAAAGCCACTAGTGAAGTGAGTGGAGTCAGGCAGCAGGTGCCTGGCAGAACCCAAGGGCTCCGTGGGCTTGCCTGTGTCTGAAGCAGCTCAGCAGGGATGAGATGAGGGCTGAGGTGCATGGCTTCAGAGACTGGGTCCCGCATAGAGAGGGACCCCAGGGGGGACAGCAGGTGGTGGCACCCAAATCCCTCTGGCCTATAGGAAAGAAGGCACCCTGGGGGTAAAATTGTCCCAGGAATGAACAGGGACTAGAATATTTCAGACTGTAAGGTCCCCGAAGGCAGGAGCCATGACCGCACTGTAGTTCCAGGTGCGTAGGAGGAGGAAAGAAGGGAAAAAGGAAGGAAGGGAGGGAGGAAGTCTGGCCATGTTAACATGTAAGGCATTAATAACTAACCATCATGCACAGTGCCAACTCTGGCTTCCTTGCTATTTCTGAAGTATCTCCAAAATTAGGAAGGTATTATGACTCCTATTATATGAATGAGGTACTGAGGGTCTGAAAGCCTAAATAACTTTTACGATCACACAGGAAACGAGAAACTGGTAGATCCAGAAAATATCAGAGAGCAAAAGTAGACATGGGGGAGGGGAGGCGTGAAGTGCACCCAAGGCCCCCCTCATTCCCCTGAAATGAGATTTAGGGGAAAAGATGCTGACCTTGCAGTCAGCCAGGTGTGGCTTCGAATCCAGGCCCCATCGACCTCCTTATCCTTTCTGTGCTTCAGTTCTAACTGGAAAAACAGGAATAATAGCAACAACAATAGGAAGAATAGCAAACATTTTATGAGGCCTTAACATGTGCCAAGCACCGTGCTTAGCATTTTAGAGAATGCCTCTTTTAATATGTGGACTGCTGTGAGGAGCAAATGAGAATTTAGGCAAAGAGCACAGCCCAATGTCTGGCCCATGAAAAAGGTATCTTTCCATCACCGGCCAGTTATTTGCAATTCTGGCCCAAAAGCTCAGGTGGGGCAGGATAGAACATGTATGCCACCTAGTGGCCCTACATGGGAAATGTCATCCCTGATCTAGACACCGGTCACCAAAACAAAACGGTTATCTCGACCGCATTAGTAAAGGTTCATTTTGTAAAAGTAAAAAATAAAAGTTCAGTTAGAGCCCTGTTTCCATAGGTCTGAGGTGCTAAGCTCTCTACTGCCTAGGTGAGTAATAAAAGCTAACACTGAGAGCTATTCTACATAACTTACCTATGAGGTGGGTACTATTGGAGGAAACGAAGGTACAGGGAGCTTGAGCGGCGAACCCGAGCACACACTGCTAGAAAACAACAGTCAGGGTTCTGACTCAGGCCCGGCTGACTCTGCCATCTCAGGTCTTAACTGAGAATCCGTCCCACCCCTTACGGGCTGGTGGCCGAGCGCGCGGGTTTGGAGGGCTGGCCCTGGGGCCCGACTGCCCGGCTGTCTTTGCAGCTTCCCGCCTGGAGGTTTCGACACCCCTGAAGCCCAGCCCATTTCTCCAGACCGGCTCCCTCTGATAACAATAACAGGGATAGACGTCGTGATAATAATTCCTGCCCTTGCTTATACACCACTTCCAGAGCCATTCCATGCACTACGTCAGCCAGTCCATGAAACAGCCCCATGCTGTAGGTGACACTATTACCACCATTTTGCAATTGAACGGAGGAACAGAGAGGATATGCCTCTTCACAGCCTCCTCGGGCCGGCCACTGGAGGACTCAGCCCCACACTCCGCCCACCTATTACAGGACCTGGCTTCCCACTTCATCACTTGAACGTCAGCCCACGCTTTCCGTTCTTCTTGAATCCAGCACGTTGCCTTGTTCAATGGACCTCTGTTGTCAGTCCTGGAAATGGGGTCTGTTCCCTCCCCATTGCAGTCAACCAGGGCTCTGGATCCCCTCTGAGGCCATTCCTGTTTCCGCCTCACTTCTCTCCCAAGGCGCGCCTCCCCCACTCGTTTCTCTCTTTTGTCCAGGAATCTTCCCTATCTCCAGCGGTAACTCCAGCTTTTCTTAGAGACACGACAAGCCAGCCCTTCCTTACTACTCCCCCTCTGACTTGCGGGACCCTTAGACTTGCCAAAGGAGACTCCACAGACATTTCTTGAGCAGCTACTAGTACTAGGCACTGGACCTTAGCCAGTGAGCACAATGGAATCATCGCCCTTGCGGCGCTTGTGTTCTAGCAGGGGGTCACAAGAAGCAAGCAATACATAAATTTAAATAGGTAACAATGCCAGGAAGTTCTTGAAGAAGAACGCAGCATAAGACGATGGCGAGGGATGAGGATACCATTTTACAGGACATTCTACGGCTCCAGACCCCAGGCAAGGGGTTTAATGGCGCAATACTGCCTACCATAGCCCAAGGGCATCTGCAATAGCCAAGACCCATTAGTCCAGAGCTGGTTCCCTGTTCAACTCAAGAGAGTCCGTCCAGCAATGGTTAAGGGCCTAGGCAACAGAGCTGGACAGCGTAGGCGGGAGCGCTGTCTCTGCATATGTTATCTGGGGCTCCCAGAACAGATTATCAAGCCTCTTTGTGCCTCAGCCTTCCTGGCAGCAAAATGGGGATAATAATAGAGTTATAAAGTACTACTTAATAGGAACAATATGAGGTTAAATGAGCTCATATAGGTGATTTGCTGAAAAACAGTACTGGTACCCAGTAAATACAGTTGACCCTTGAACAACACAAGTTTGAACTACATGGGTCCACTTCTGTGTGGATTTTTTTCAATAAATACTGTGAGTGTATTTTCTCTTCTTTATGATTTTCTTAACATTTTCTTTTCTGTAACTTAATTATAAGAATACAGTATATAATACATATAACATACAAAATATGTATTCCTTGACTGTTTATGTTACTGGTAAAGCTTCAGGTCAATACTAGGCTACTAGTAGTTAAGTTTTGGGGGAGTCAAGTTATACGCGGATTTTTGACTGCGCAGGGCCAGTGGCCCCAACCTCCACGTTGTTCAAGGGTCAACCGTACTATTATTGTTCAGCTGCAAGCTCCAGGGAATTTTTTACTCTGCTCTTAGCTCAGCATAGCACAGAGAACAGAATGGAAAGTCTTCCAGCAAGGCTAGAAGGTCTAGCCCCTTTTTTTTTTATTTTTTATTTTTTGTACAATTGAACAAGTATTTTCTCTCTCAGAGCTTAGTTTCTTCATCCACAAAACGGACAAAAACTGTCTGCATTATTGCATTATTGCATGAATTACATTAGCGAATGTGACACACCTTAGCACAGGGATTGACCCACAGTCAGTGCTCAGTGTTAACAATTAGGATGACCAAAATTTTAATGATGATGATATTTTTTGAAAGAGGGGGAGGGAAAAGATGGAGGGAGAAGAGAGACTAGAGTCAGGAAGCTGGTGGTCAGTTCAGCTCTGATATTAACAAGCTTTCCAATCTTGGGCCTCAGTTTACCTCTCCATAAAATGTGGACTGTTGGATTCACTTGCTGCAATCCCTTTGGGGTTTCTCTTATTCTGAGACCTGCGGAATGTCTTTGAAGGGCTGAGCCTGGCCAAGACACATGAAAATACACTTCCAGTTCAATCAGTGTGGTAGTGTCGCTTGTTTCTGCAAGTGTAGTCACTGCATGTGTTCAGCTCCCAAAATTCATTGCCTCTACCATTTTCCATTCTCTTCTCACCAAAGAAACAAGTTCCTGCTCCACAGGTGGAAGCTGGGCGTGCTGGCTGTTTCCCAACTGAACGCCAGAGGGCAGCAGAACCAGAATATTTTCAGCTTGCCGTAGGTACTGGCTGTTTCTCATCTGAACGCTAGAGGGCAGCAAAACCAGCATATTTTCCAGCTCTGGTTTCCTTTTTCCTTTTTCTGTTCTTTGTTTTATTTTGTTGTGTTGTGTTGTGTTGTGTTTTTTTGTCCTCCAAAGGGAAAACACTAGTTGGGCTACGGTGACTTAGCTCAGACATCTTGGTGGGAAAAAGAAAAATTGAGATGTTTGCAAAGACTCGAACGTTTCAAGTCTTGGCAAAGCTGAGTACAGCCTATGTATCACCTGGGTAGAAAGAGAACCCAAACCAGGCCTAACGACTAAGAAGAGTTC